GTCGGCGGCTCGCATCAGTTCGACCGCGTGCAAGTTCAGGGAAACTGCTCAGGGAAATGTTTTATTGAACTATGAAAATTAGGCCAATGTGCCAAACTATCCATACGCGACTTTAACAAGACTATGTTTGAGGAAATTTATGTTTCAGTCACACGATACACATGCTCTATTTATGTCTTTAACCAATATAGGACGACCAAAATACATTAGAGGTTTAATGGTTCAAAATTATTAAAGCAATTGAGGTCAGTTGTACGGGTCCCAACAGATTTAGTCTAGAACTGGTTCGGAGTTTCGGATATAATCACGTACGACCCAAATCTAGACCAACATAGTTGCGCTGTGATTACGAATCGCACATGGCGTGGATCGCATGTTTTAGAGAATTTAAAAGAAGTTAAAAAATTGAAACCAGTTAAAAGTGGAAAGTAGAATCGCAAGTTGAGATCAATCTGTTAAAATTCAAAATCTCTCTGGTTTGTAGTCCTTGGGAATATTCTAGAAGATTAATCCGATACTGCTGGCCTTCCGCTTGAGTATGAAATTAATTATCAGCTATAAATAATGCACATTTTCACCTATCACATTGTCAATTAATCACTTATTACTACCTACTATGATTAATGATTAATGTTAATAATGTCTGACTCTAGTAATCAAAACAAATGCCAAATGTGCAACTACCCGTACTAGCACTACGTATGACGCCAGTGACTCATTAGGAACTTCCTCCTCCTTTCTAAGCTTATCGACGACTACTTTCTGTCAACTGATTTACGAAGCATATCTATGATCTAATAGATCTGTATGTTTCGCACGTGAATGTATTTATATGTCCACTTCCTCACGATAAAACGGCTTGTTGTATCATAGTAAACTTAAAACATAGCGTGTATTTTAAAACAATGTTAGTCATTATGATCGTGGCACGTTTGACTACTAATTAGCTCAGAGCTAGCTCGGCTAGACCTAAATGCAGGAATAGTTGCGATTGTTAATGAGGGTGACGATTGATGTGTTGTCTTCCGTAGTTGTGACGACAGATGTACCGGTTTTGAATTTCTTGAAAATGAATCAGTTATAATTATGTGAACTAGGTATTTTTTACGACACAGGAAACCAAATTGATTTTGTATCGAATGTGGTTTTTACGGGAAAACCTAAAATGATAATGTATTATAATTAATTATATTTTTTCCTCAATTTTGGCATAACAACACGGTAATAAACCAATCGACTGTACAGTTAAAAGATTTCTCAATGCCATTGAATCATTAACTAATACACTCCTGCCGTGAGACAATCGAGCATGACCCGAATGACCCGGGCCGAGCCGACCTGCAACAAATCTTCCACAAGGCGCACTTAAATTTTAGAACCAAAAACGGTGACGTAACAATACCTTGTGGACTTGTACCTTAACAATAAGATGGTGCGAGCCACGAAGGCCAAAGCCAAGTTCACGGCTTCGTTCAACGACCGCTGTTATCATTACCATTCAATGCGAAGCCCCGGTTCATTACGAACTCAAGCGCATTCGATTTCTAAGTGTACACATTAACATTTTTTAGCAATTTACTAAAGTATCTCGTGTCATATGACAACCGTCACTAAATTAATTTGGTGTGCCAATACTATATGTTTTTCTATCTTGATTGACAGTTCGCTGACATGCATATTTTATTTTGTATATTGCGAAAAACTGCAAACTGTTCAAAACTCTACATTACAGAGTGTTCCGTTTAATTTTCTTCTCAAATTCATTTTTTTAATATCGAATATTCTTATTCATTCACGATGCTTATTTAAAATAAAAGATTTTCAATGTAGGTAAATGGAATCTGCTCCCTTCGAGGTATTTCAAAGAGAAGTCCTAAAAATAAATGTGCAAGACAATAAAATAAGTACACAATGTTCCGACCTTACTGAGGTCCTGCATTGGTATTTCGCGCATCGCTTGTAAATTGCAAGTTAGTGTGAGAACTCGTCGCCTTCAACTTTTAATTTACAAAAGCCTCGAAACCCACTTTACGGTCTCATCTCCATATTTCGAATCACACGCGCTATTAACAATATGCATTCTGAAACGGTCAATTAATACTTGCTTTAACTTTAACCCCGAAGAAAAAGATTTACGATAAAATTATAACATTAGGTAACCGAAATTGCAATAATTAAAAATGAAGTAGTATTTTTGCAGTAGAAAATTTAAAACATTATAATTTATTTACTACTGAAAAATACGTAAATAAATTTTACTCTAGCGTAGATCATATTAAGATAATTCAGCGGAAAAATCAACTGTTTCAATATTAAAACTAGTGAATATAGGAAACATTTGTACTTATACAACGTTTGCATCAACGTCAGAGAGCGTCAGTTGAACACGCCTGACAACCAGTGCCTCTACCTTTTCAGATAGATACTAAGTCACTCGAAGACAGCTCACAAGTCACAACTGTTGCTAATATTTACAAAAGTGTTCTGTTGCTGGTCTGTGACCTTCAGCGGGGCCGCAGAGGCCGCGGTGCCGCGGGTTCACGGCGAGGGCTACTTTTATGGCTTCAGTCCATTTAACCCATTTTATTGACGCAATCCAGCCGGCGCTTTTATCGCTTTGCAGCGCTTAGTTGCTGCGAGATATGAAACCACGAACAAAACTATATCAGTTACAGTAAAATCATTTGTAAATCCACATTTATTAGCCATATCACCGCTTGCGAGATCTCAGTCATCGCCATATTGATTTCATGTAGGTAATAAAAACATATGGTTGCGAACTTGCAATCCTAATGTAAACTTTAGCGTAAAAACTGAAAGAAACAGTTTGTGCATATTAATGAACCATTGCATCTGTAACCGATCGATGTTTAAAGGATTAACACTTCATTCGTCACTTCGAATTTGTTCTAGTGACCTACAGAAGATATAGATTTTACATTTCGTTTTTATTTGAATACAACAGAAGCTTTCAGGCGTCGATTTCACAAAAAATACATATACCCTTAAAACGAAGCGTTTATTTCAAAATATTCTTACATTTTTTTTAAACATCCAGTAAAATATGTATTATTCGACGCAAAAAAAAAATATACGCAATTTATCACTCCTGTACAAAAAACAAGTGCGAAGTGTAAGAAAACAGTATCTGAACATCTTAATGAAATAATGAGTTTGGTCTATGTTAGGACAATTAAGTGTAGGCCTCGTCACCACAGCATTGACCGCGCGACCCTTAGATCGATGTCGTTCTCACGAACCTAACGCGAAAATTAACAACGAGGATTTAATTGATACAAACTGCTGGCGAGGTGGCCACGACCTGACAGTATTAACTGGCTCGATGATTGTCCGACCAATCGCACCATAAGAGAGTTTGACAGACTAATCATACAAAATATTTGGCGACTCATGCGCACACTTGTTGAATACCAAAATCATCGGCCAAATTGATAAAGACATAAAATTTGAATTTACGATTGAAGTTCTGAATATAACTTTGTAATCGCTGTCGAAAAAAAAACGTACCTACCGTAAATATGACGTATATGAACTACGTGTAGGAAATAAGAGTTTCTTTTTGTTTTATTAACAGAAATTCAGTATTGTAATGCATTAACGTCATATTTGCAAATACCTAAAGCAATTAACATGTCGGCCTCGCAAGGTCTCTTTCAGTAATGGTGGAAAACATTGCTGACTTACCGCCAACCAATGATACGAACGAAAATTAGCACATGTGAAACACTGTTCATTCACCTGCTTCCTTTATTGTTATCTGTCTACTTCAATATGAATGCTCGTAAAAATCACTCAAGCTCAACAATTTGATAAATTCTGTGACTAAAGTTTGTCTGCGAACGATATGAAAATCAATTCAATGTGTTTTATATAGAGCTAATATAAAAGGAAAGGATTCTAAAATGAAATAAGTAAACGAAACTAATGATTAAATGTCGGTCGCATGCGTAAAACTGGCTACGTGCACGACCAGACAGTTGAACAAATCAGTGATATTGTAAAACTACAGGCCAACAAACGAATTCATTCATAGATGGAAATATTACGCGAAGTCACTCCACCGGTGTCAAATGTCAAAGGTCATGCACCTGTGCGATAAAATTAAATAATATCTTTTTATTTTTATCGACTTCGAATGTCTCAAAACGTGATACTCTCTAAGATAGGAATCATTAAAATACCTACAATTTTTTAATTGGGTCATTCTCTTATTTATGAGTATCAAAACAATTAGCTAGTTCATTTTGTAACTGAAATTAATTTACCAACTAACTAATAAGAATCGTCTGTTTTACCAACCGCATCCCAAAAATAATTTTAGAACGTCCAATTTATTTTATTTTATTTTAATGTAAATTTTCCAACGATGAATAAATTACGTCTGTTTAAAAATTAAAAAAAAAAACACAATTGATGCCAGGTACCAGAAGTAAGTAATCAATAAGAATATTATGTGTGACAAGGAGCCTGTTAAGTACTATGAGATAACGAAAGTTTGTTCAGGTGATATGAAATTATGTCTATTCGTGTTTTGTGATTGTACATCGAGTACTTGTGTAAATAGAAAGCACTTATGGTCAGTTAAATAGCCGTCCTGCCTGAACCGATTATCTAACGCCCCTGCTCAATAGATAATGCCTACGTACAAATATTAAAGGCGTTACACAATATTTGCAGACTCGCTGCTTCAGTAACAATGTTGCTACGTCAGGGATTAAGATTTACTTGTGTGTAAAAATCGTGCCAAATTCAGAAATATTTTGCTAGCACTATACTTTTTAAATAAACCGCACAAGAGTGTAATTTTTTTTTCTTGCTACAATAACAGATATTCAATGAAATAATATTTATTGTTTTATGTCCCACGAGATTATCTCTACGTAAACCGCATACGGTTTATCGTACGTATCGTTTATTAAGTAATTTATCATTAAAATACGAGTTGAATGGCATGTTAAAAAATAAATAGAGATACTTACTTGAGTTAATGGTATAATCTCGGTCCCATTGAGTATAGACAGCCCGTAGACGCGAGGATCCTTGCCGGTAAAAAGTGAAATTTCTCGCGGCGTCGTCGCCCGCTAATTATTATTTATTCACTCAAGGTGAAAAACGTGGATCAGCAACACCGTATTCTGTTCGCGCGAACTATATATAAACACGTGTTTTAATAATATTATTAATATTGATTACTCTATTAGAAACGATTTTTATAAAATAATCCTCTTTATTTTAATTCAATAAATCGGTATTTTCGTTCGCATCTGTGATAGAGCTGTGAGTTAAGTGCGTTCGGAAAATGAGTCGGGTGTAGGATCGAGCGGCTCAGAGAGCGGAGCGCGCGACGCGGCGACTTGCGGGCCACTGACTGCGCGCGCGCGTCCGATAGCTGTCGATCTCCAACTCTTCCAATTTTAAATATCGGCGGCGGCGTTTAGAGTTTGCACGGTTTTTCCGGATCCTTTACAGCCTGCACAGTTTTCAAGTGTCTACTGTGTATGCCTGTATGACTCAACTTTACCTCTAAAAGTGACCTCCAAACTCATACATATGTTGCTATAATAGCGCGAACTATGGTAAATCCTAACACTTACCAACATGAGTTGGTAAATATAAATACATATACATATACGTACTAGTTTGCGATTCGAACTGTTGCCACCATTCACCAGGTAAATCTTAATATTTACATTAAAACCAACATTTTCCAGTTAATGTTGGTAAAGCAAATTAAAGCTAAAAAAAAAACTAATTACAATATATTCGTACATATACAACTTATATCGGTAAATCTTACGATTTACCATAATTCGGATTTCACAATAACAAACACATAGTATATACAGAGACATTGGGAAACCGAAAATTTCATCTGATATTACTGTGCGTCAAAAAGTTGATGATTTTTAAGCTAAACACTGATTCATGTCGTTCCTTACTTGGTACATTTATTAGTATAATTTTGATGGTTGTGTAAAAAATATTAAACACTATGAGAATAATGGGCATTAAGTAGTCACGAGGTTTGACAATAGCTCCAACAAAAAATATTCTCGTTTATGTACATAGAGTGACACCTTAGGTCATGACTTAAGACGTTGTGTGTTTTGTAAAAAGTCATCTCGATTGTAATTACGCATCTATTTCGGTTGAACACAATGTCAAATCCTCAAACCCATTACAGCTTTATATGCCTAAATATTGAAATTATAGCTACCACTCGCTTCACTTTTTCAAAATAAACAAGAGTAAATAGTATGCAAATTACGTCGTCGTAAAACTGATTTACATTTAAGATTCTTTGTTTAAAATTGTAAACACAATTAGATTGCGTCCTCAACCAATTGATCGGGACAATATGTGTAGATACCACCAACGTGCTCGTTACCAAAATATTATGAGTAAATTTTCATAAGCCATTACAATTGGTGTACGCAAATCGACCTACATGTGTCTGTTTGCCATGAAAATGTATGAGGCTATTAGTGGGAAGGTCGGGACAGACGATGATGTCACCAATCACCATCGCGACTGATTTATCGGCACCACTTGTCAGGATTAGGGCCCCACGAGTACGAAGCGCGTCCGCACAAACCCCGGCCCTTGGTCCAAACATAAACATGACTGAACTAATGTAACATATTTCACTTTTACTACGCGAAGATAAAATTTAATGTGGTGTTGCAATAAATAAAAACTGTTGGCAGTGTATAAACAAATGTTTGGTGTAAATGTTTTAATACATGACCAAAGATATAGCGAACATTTTGCAGATCCTAGGCCTTAGTACGAGTTTGATTTACGTTTAAAGTATTCGAAACGAGTACGCGTTCGGCGCTCTGAATGGCCGGCTCGAATGAACCAACCAAGAGCGCCGAACGCCTACTCGTTTCGAATACTTTAAACATAAAAAAAACTCGTACTAAGGCCTCTGATTAGCACTGGCATGCTGAAAACAGTAACAAAACATTGCACGTTGTTGTAGGGATGAGCATGAAGTTAGTAACGTTTACGTGTTCCTCTTAACTTATAGAAATTTTGCGAAAAATAACGCAACGTGTGTGGTTTCGCAATTCAATTTCCTCATAATATATTTTTCGTGAAAAATACAGTCGTAAAGCCGTTATTTAAACGACTAACTGCTAAGAATGCTTTGTGACAGAAACATTTCACAGATGAACATACTATGTAGAGGTATAAGAAGATATTGGCTCGATTAACCAAAATAAAATTCTTCCTACTTAGACAGATATTTTTGTATCTGGAAATATAATTTGTCGTACCTAGTTCCATCAGCAAAATAAAGAGACCATATTGATTATTTTAAAACAAGTTCCTATTTTGTATTTCGCTCGTGAGTTAGGAAGCTACTTGGACGTAATTAATACATACCTTGGCTTATAATGAGTACTTATAGTACGCAGATTAGTCATTAGCCATCGTGTGCCATTAGCATAGTTATAATCCTTGTCTATTGAATCAGATAAACAGGTACTTGACATGAAATATATCCTCCACTTGACACACACTGATCGTGACCACGTATCCGCATAAAATTCCCATGTTTTCCCGGTTCTGTACTGGCGAAATCTATGTAAATAAAAATGAATCCACAAAATGTGGCTACATAACATTTTTTAAGGGACAAACCTGCCACATCCTCCCAAAACCGCTGCAGGTTAAAAAGCCCGTATCTATAGAAAATACAACCACAGATACACATAAGTACTGCAGCGCATTCTAAGGACACGAATAACGAAATAAGTCAAAAGACATTATTAAAAGAGATGAAAAGATGTAACCACATCATTCCCGATATACCTAGTAGTACCTGCTAGACTAAATTTGATTATTATTTTTGGTAGTGTTCATTATTGTGAAAACCAGGCTTTTGTTTTGTCACCCAGAACATCGGTGGTAAACAGTAACGTCTTACTGCAACAATTTTACATTCAGAGCAACAGATATTTCGACCACCAAATAGAAAGCCATATTTAGTCGTAAAATGTTATTATTACGATAGTACGGACAACATTATAATCAGTTTACTCATAGTGAACAATGCAATAACCCAATTCCTTCAATCAAGTTTCACAAATGAATCAGGAACTTGTCTTGAACACCGTTTTACCATTTACTTACAATTAATACGATTTGTGGGGTACAGTTGTTGACAGGAATCTAGATTTTAACACTTATCTACAACATAGCTTTAGGCCATTAGGCCCTTAGGGCATTGTAGATAAATCAAGCTATGCCTACCTTAGAATCGATTTTGTACAGTAAGAAAATCTTAGGATAATAAATTATGATTAACACGAAACTAATTAAGAACAAACTGGACTTAGACATAAAACCATACTACCTATGTAACAGGAAATTAGCTGAAACAAGTACGCACTCGTTGCAAACTACTACGAATGTTAAGATCCAATAACATTTGCTAACATAGGTACTCATGACAAAAATGTTCAAGAATTATTTTTAAGAATACATAATGCAAATAATTGAAGCAACAAAAAAAAACAACTCATTTGAAAGACAAAAGCAAAACGATAAACAATTCAAACGTAGCTAATAAGAAGCTCAAAAAAGTTTCTGAATAATCAGTTGTGTATTTATATTTAAAGCAGAGCACTTGGAGGTGTGTGGTCCCGTTCAGCCATCAACCAGTTGTCAGATAATATCAATTGTCACCTCCGATGTACAATAGCAGTCACCCGTCGTCAATGATCGCATCAACACGTCCCGGCCGGCACGCATTCCTAATACGATATAATCCCTTCTTATGTCTTCATAAAATATGTTAGCATATAATTAATACACACAACATTGCATAATGTAATAAACTCACGAGCCAGTTGAATTCAGAGAACTGAGAGCTTGAATTGAAATATAATTTAAAGTAACGACAGTCGTAAGAAACATATTTAATTATCTTATTCGCGCAGTTCTGTTTTCTGCGGTCTCTGAAAGCAGCTAAGTCGTTTGCGGAGACGATTGTCTGTCATAACATCGCACCCATTTAGCTACCACGCGCCACTTCAAACAAGTTATCTTAAACAAACCCAGGACTCGTTACTAACTCCAGAAATACACCCGCCGCGCCAACATTATTGTTCATATAATATACAACAAACATTTACTCTGATGTTAAATCACCAAAATTAATGTTTTCATTGGCCTTTTCAGACTATTACGTCTAATGGCCATTCTAACAGATTAAGTTGTCACACCGATACACAAATTATGAAATCAAAGAGAAACGAAAGAAAAACATTGTGTATTTCAATCGGATTGTTGGCATACTGCATAAATTTATAGTTGCTACAAATATCATTTGAATGATACCTATTTTTCTTTTGGGTGTCAAATTGCTACCTAACAAAAATTATTTTAGAGTTATTGCATGACCTAGTTTGCATTCGCAGACAGGAGAAAAAATAAAACATTTCAATTAGTGGCCATTAAAAATCTCGTCAAAATAAAAGTGAGACGCCACATAACATCATCACCCAAATTCTCAGTGTTACTTCCGCGATATAAGTCTATTAAAACAATGAACGAGATATCCGTAACTATTAAAAATTATACGTTCTGGCACGATATGTCTCATGTCAACGTAAAGTGCTTGAAATATGCCCGTCGGTTATTGCACCGCTAATTTTGCTCTAACGTTTCATCCTAGTATCTAAGCCGTCGGCCTGTTATTAGTCGCTCCGCTCTTAATAAAAGCAGATTGTACACTGCTTGCATGTTCCAAAATAGTTATAATTCTGTACATGTTTACGATACACTCGGAAAATTCATTCACCTCCTATGTTTTGTAAACAAACGGTAGGTGCCTCTTTGGTACCCGCGTACAAGAATAAGCAACGGAGCAAAAACTTTAGGGTCGCAATTTCAAAATCAGTTTAATATTAAAAAAAAAACTTTCATTGAGGTTGTTGATCGAAACCAGAATTTATGGTAGTAAATAAACGTAAATGTTATAGGTAGGTACTGTAAATAAGATCAATGGGCAGTTCATTCACGTTAGTTCATGTACCACACATTAATCCCGGGATGCGGTTTTACTTACATCCGGTAGTTCGCAATATGTTACGCTGAATCTAGGACACGTTTATAATGTGCTCTATTTAATGTTCATATTTTAGCTTTAATATTTACAAATCATTTTACTTAGATATATATCTTAGATATACAAGTAGATAGATCTGTTTCCCGAAGCCATCTTCTTAATCTCAAGGATGTTCCAAGTTTGGGTGTCCTTCTACAATTACGCACATATGTGTCATATTAATATTTTTTGTCACTGTCTACCAATTGCTCTAGTAGCTAATCTTTGCCCGGCGCAATGCCAAATTGTATGATTTACAGATTCGGATC